ACAGGCATGGATGGCCATACCCAGTTTTTTGTTTTTGTCCCCCCCCCCTCGTATGTGCTGGAGATTTGAACTCAGCTCCTCAGGCTTGCACAGCAAGTGCTCTTACCCACTGAGCCATCTTCATGGGCTTGACTGTCACACAACATCAAGCCAGCCAAAATCCCAGCCATGAAGTCCCACCCCTGCCTGAGGAGCTACTGGCAGTTGAAAGGCTGCTGGGGAGGGAGAGTGAGTTTCCTTCAGGGATATGGCCTCTGAGAGGCTACCCATGCTCTCGCAGACAGCCCTACATCCATGCATATATGGCATCACTACAAGGACTCAGAGGGTTTCACAAACTAGAGCACATGAGGAGGGAAAAGTGGCGGGAATAGGAGAGGAACTGGTGGGGACGGAATGGGAGGAGGCGCGGATTTGATCAAAACCTGTTATATGCATGCACGAAACCTCTATAAAATGTGTTCAAATTCACAAGAAATGACACAAAACACAAAAAGGAAGAAACGCGCACACACACACACACACACACACACACACACACACACACACACACACAACCAGAGGAAAACCACCTTAGAGAGACACAACGTCTGGGGAGAGGTATATCAAGACAAAGGAGAGGGGGTCATGGTGGCCCACAGAGCAGAGACAGGCAGATCACCATGAGTTCGAGGCCAGCCTGGTCTACATAGGGAGACCTTATGTCAACAAAACAAAACCAAAGACCAAGGGAGAAAATGGGTAGAAAAATTTTATTGAGGAACACCTCCATCTAGTGGCCATTCATGGCATAACTGCTAATTTAGCTAATTTTGGTTTCCATTTTTCCACTCCATTCGCTCTAAACATGCCACCTTTGGGCTCCCTGGTTCCCTTCACTCTGTCACTTGAGGACAGTATGGATGATACCTAGGGGACCCTTGAGGTGCTGTGTGGATGTCCACGGTGGCGACAGGCCTTCTGAACTTTTCAGGGGTGATAGCTAATAAGATCCTCCCAATTCCCTATCCTCTAACGGGAAGTTATGGCTGCAGGTGGGCCTCATAGGCCAGGCTGACTCTGAAACCTGAAACACAGGTTTGTGGGGACGGACGACAGCAATAGGGTCTGCAGATAGTGCTGGGCTTCAGGAGCTCCTGAGGTGTGGGGCTTGAGCAGCAGCAGAGAGCCAAGCATGGGGCATAGACCTGCACGGTCTGGGGTGACTGGGAAAGAACCTGGGGGTGCAGCCTAGCCCCCCTGCAGCGACTCAGCTCCCATCTGAGTGCTGCAGCTCGGATCTGGCACCACTTACCCCTGCGCCAGAGACTTCGGTACAAAGTGACTTGCTGTGGGCATAGATGCAGTGTCTGGGAGGGTCCTGGGAAAAGTGCAGCCTCAGCATTTACCTCTAGGCTGCTGCCACGTTGTAGGGTGGTGACAGCTCCCTTTGTGACATGGTTTAGCAGCAACCGCTTCTTGGGGTGTGTGGCTTGGGGACCCATGGAGTGTTTAGCCACATGGGCTCTGTGGGTTCTGACAGGAATGGCTGCTGGCTATCCAGTGGCAGAAGATGATGTGTCTTCTGGTGGAGGTCACCTGAGGACCTTAGTGGTTCCCTCCAGGTGGCCTACACTGACAGTGGCAGCATGCTGCATCCTGCTGGCTGTCAGGAGTGGAGGCATGGGGGTGATAGAGGTAGAGGCATGGGGGTGATAGAGGTGGAGGCATGGGGGTGATAAGGGTGGAGGCATGGGGGTGATAGGGGTGGAGGCAGGGGGATGATAAGGGTGGGGGCATGGGGGTTGAGGGAGACTCATGTGATCTGATCTAGTCAGGGAATCGTCCGTTTTCTCCACTGAATTACTGCAGATCCGTTACTGGGTCTTGGGGTGTCTGAGAGCCATTCTGATTGTGGATCACTATGCTTGTGCTGTTGTGGGTAGACAAAGCTGGTGTCTCCTCCTCTGCTACCATGGCGATGCCGCTTTGCTGATGTGACTGAATCGGAAGTGTATCAGTTTCAAAGCTGATTGATCCAGTTAACTCCACCGACTCCTGTGTTCACCGGGTACCTCTCATAAGCAACAGGTGTTAGGTAAAGTACGGTACTGGAGAGGCGGCTTCGCCATGGAAAACACTTGCTGCTCTTGCTGAGGACACAAATTTGGCTCATTATCACCCGTAACTCCAGCTGTGCGGATTCAACACCCTCTTGTGGCCCCTTAGGGCATGACACTCACACAATTTTTAGAAAAGTGTGGGAAATCATTATCATTGATTTGTCTTATGGAAAGCTTCATCTGCAATAAAAATTCTCATATTATTTAACAAGATTATATGAGATGAAAATAATTATCCACTTTTCTTCCAAGACAGGGTCTCTTTACATAGCACTGGCTGTTCTGGAACTGATTATGTGGACTAGGCTGGCTTTGAACTCATAGAGTCACCCACCTCTGCCTCCTGAGTGCTGCAACCAAATGAATGTCCCACTATGCCTGGTCTTTTAAGGCTGGAATTTAGCTTATGTTTGCAGTGGGAGTTCTGGGAGAAGCAAATTATTACACAAGACAAAACCAATCACACTTAGCCGGCTGTTTTATTCTTTGACGGAGCAAACAGATTGAATAGGATTTAGCCCGTGAGTTGGATTGTTCAAGGTCATGAATTGACATTATTCATAAACCGTGCAAGTCCCGAGAGAAAGCACTATCATCTGTGCAGTGTGCCTGACTCATCTGAGGCTGAAGACCAAGTCCCAGTTTGCATTTCTGTTGCTGATAGAACACCGACCAAAAGAATCCTGGGGTCTGTTTGAGCTCACAGCTTACTGTCTATCACTGAGGACAGTCAGGGCAGAAACTCAAGTCAGGATCCTGGGGCAGGAGCTGAAGCAGACCCATGGAGGAGTGCTGCTTCCTGGCTTGCCCCCCATGGCTGACTCAGCCTGTTTTTTGTTTTGTTTTGTTTTGTTTTATACCATCCAGGACCACCAGCCTAGGGGTGCAATCACCCACACCGCACCAGGTCATCTCATTATTAACCATGAATCAAGAAAATGCCCCACAGGCTTGCCCACGGGCCAGTGTCACAGAGGCAAGTCCTCAGTTGAGGTTTCCTCTTCCCAGGTGACTCTAGTTTGTGTTGACAAAATCTAGGCAGCACAGCCAGAGCCTGGAAGTTTCCAAGTCGGTGCCATTAGGAACTCCCCACACTTCAGCTACTTTTTAACACAACTGACAATCACCTCGGTTGGGGTGGGTATGGCTGAAACCACAAGCAGGAACCAAAACCAGAGGTGGGGGTGGTGGCAGAGTCAGGCTCAGCTCAGAGCAATCCATCCTGGGTTTCTCGCAGTTGACAAGGGATGAGCCGTCCAGCCTCAGGTTCCTGGCTAGCCTAATGGTCAGGGGAGGGGACCCGGAGAGACACCATTATCCAGAGGCTTCTCTGTTGGGCTCGTCCTCCAGTGAACCCTAGAGCAGCTAACTGCAATCCAGCACACGTCAGCACTGTGCCCAGCTCACTGAGTCCACTGTGCCCACTGCTGGGCGGCACCTCCATGGTGCATTAAACACCAAACACGTGTTTCTTTGGAATCTCAGACACTGTGCTGTAGTCTCTCCCTCTGTGGGTCCCAGCCATTCCCACATGACATAGCACAGACCTCACACTTCAGCCACACACTTAACCTTTCCCGTGTCACAACACAGTCTTCTACCTCATGTCTAAGCTAGACCCAGGGCTGGTGGGCAGAGCCCCGTTCATTCACACTTTTTACACCGATTTATAATCACGCCGTGGTGCTCAGAAACCTTAAAGACATTGACCTGGCTTTGGCCCTGCTGTGGTTATTTTCTCTAAAGCAGTGGTTCTCAACCTGCGGGCTGCAACCACCAGAAAACACCTATTTCTGATGGTCTTAGGAACCCACAACCAAAGGTTTATTTTGTTGCTATTTCATAACTGCAATTTTGCTACTGAGCAGTGTCTCAGTTCCTAAGACCATAGGAAACATGTGTGTTCTGATGGTCTCGACCCACAGGCTGAGCACCACTGCTCTAAAGCATTCCCCCAGCAAGGGGGGCGGGGAGGAGGGTCATTAGGATTAGGAAAACCCAGAAAGGTACAAGATCCACAAGGCTCCTCAAGGTTCTACACTGCTGGGGAGGAGGAGTCTGGTGACTGTCAGCGGGTTGTGTAGGGAGCTCTTGGGATGCAGCGTTCCCGAGTTGCCACCCATGCTGGAGGTGGGCTGTTGGTGATGCCGCTAACATCGCTGGTGACCCCCCTGCCACGCTCCTGTAAATAACACCCCCCAAACTCACTGATCCACTAAACTAGTCTTGGGTGGAATCATTCCACTGGTTTGTCATTGGTGCCCTATTTAGGGTGAATGAATAGATGTTTGCTCATCCCTCCCCAGGAGGTCACCTAACAGGCTCTGGTCCATTCCCTGTGTGGCTGGGTATACACTAAACTTTGCCGAACCCGCAGGTGGATAATTGTGTATATACTTGTGGCGAGACGGATGATCAATACGACCAATAAACAAAAACTACAACTTTAATTCTTCAGCGATGGTGGCTGGGCCTCTGCAGCTGCTCAGTGAAGCAGTTTCTTCAGGAAGAGAACGAAGAAGAAGATGGGGGTCGGGGGTCCGGCTCTGGCTCTGGCTCCGTTTCTGACGGCTGATTTACAACTTACACTTTTGTTAGTGACCGGGAAGCCCATGTAGGAAGTCACCGTGTCTCTGCATAGGTCTATGGTTATGCATTTCTTCAGTTCGATGGCTATGTCGCTGACACCTGTGGGAAAACACACGTGAGACTTCCCTGCTTGGCTTTAAATCCCACTTGGACCCACACAGACTGGTCTACAGAAGGAGGTTGACCAGCTGCATTTTCACGGGACTCACACACACACTGCTCTCTCCATCTAGGATGGGCAGTGGGCTCGGATGTTTTTCTTCAAGCACAGGGTCTTCCAGTCCCCAAATTACCCCCAACCCAGGCCAATCAAGTATTGGTGCATCTTCTCAACATCAGTGAACTGAACCCTTTCTAACCCACAGTAACCCGCTAGGGCTGCGGTGCTAGCAGAGTTTTGATTGACAGCGTGTCGATGGTGGTATGACATGTGTGCTGTGCTGGGAGCATTCTGTGTGGGGCTGCTTGCTTGGAGCTGTGTGGACCTGTGCTGCCGTCAGGCATGTGGTTTAGCATCATGAGGACATGAACCACTCTTTCTTGGCTTGAGTTGTCTATTGTAAGAACAGCAACAGTCACCAATGTTATCATTTGTGACTATGCTCTAGACCTTTCAAAGTGCTTTGGGTCTGTTCTCTCAGGTATGGGGCACTACATGCTTTAAAAGGTCTCATCTGGCCATGCCTGGATACTAACAGCAACCTTTTACTGCTGTTTTAAAGCCAAGAATCCGTGTGTGGTACAAACTGCAGAATGCAGAGGTGTACGAGTCCAGGAAACCAACCCACATGGCTCATGTGATGACTTCAGGGTGTGCTGAGCTCCCTAGAGCCATCAGGAGAAAAGTGAGTAGGTAGAGAGGGCCTATGCAAATGACCCAGCCCTCATGGAACCTAGCTGGCTGCGCTTCAGGCTAAAATATACTATGATTACTAATTCATGTCTAACCCATCTTTTAATTAATTTAGGGTTTTGCATTGCATTTTCTCTCTTTGGTATAAGGTCTTGCTACAGAGCCCACGCTGGCCCAGAACCTGGAATCCTCTTGCCTACACCTCCTGAGTTCTGAGAGTGCAGGTGTGTAATCTGCAACCACACCTGGATCCACTGGATTTTATTAAAGCATATTAAATTAACACTCATTACGTTTTATAATTCCTTTGAAGAAGGGTTAAATTTAGTCATTGCCTTTCTCCAGACTTTGAAAGTGTGTGTGTGTGTGTGTGTGTGTGTGTGTGTGTGTGTGTGTGTCTTGTCACAAAATCACCCTGTGCTTCGAAAAAAACTAATCAGATTTTTTAGGGGGTGAGGTTTCATCTGCTATGTGGAACAACATCCGAGCAGTCAGGGAGACTCTGGCAATAAACGCACGTACAAATTCACGAGTGTACAGAGACGGTGAATTGGACTTATCCACTTATTCTGGAGATCCAGAACACTGCTGTGTGCTCCTCAGGACAGGAGCGGCTTTCTCAGCTCTCACGGTGAGGCACGCACCCCTCACGCTTCTGAGAGAGCACTTTCCATCCGGCTCCACAGTGTCTCAGCCAAGGAAAGCACCTGTATTGATGATGCCGGAGAACTCCACGCACTTTATCTTGTCCGTCGGGCACCACTTGAGCTCTGGGCTACACTTCCTCCCCTTCACCGCGAAGCATGTGGGACACTTGAGGCCGCTGGAGCTGAATTCATTCACGTTCTTCTCCTCTAGGTCACTCATTGTAATTTCCCAGGAGACTGGGGGGTGGGGGGCGGTAGGGCAAGACAAGACAGAAAATTGGCAGGCCGTTGGTCACAGGCAAGAGAAATACAGATGTCCAAAGAGCTGGTCCCCTTGGCCTGTCCTTCCCAGTTAGCCACCCCCGACCCCCCATCCTCAGCTCCGCTCTTGCAATCCTCAAGTGACACTTCCTAATTCCTCCAGGTCACACTAGAGCTAGCATAGCACTCCCAGCCTTCGAGGAGCATGCTCTCCGATGGGGAGGACACACCATCTGCAAGGATAATGGATGCTTCAGAGCGAAGGGACTGTGTCGTGGAGTTCAGGGTGGGGTTGCAGCGCACGGGGGGGGGGGGGGGGGGGGAGAAACCCTCGATGAAAAGGTGTTATTTTGAGTGGAGGCCCAGGGGAGGTTTAGTTCCAAACACTTGCAGAGAAGGATTTGGCCTTGGAATCACAGGGTGCCCTCAGAATGGCCCAAATCAACGAAGTGGAGCCTGTTTTCCCTGCATCCCCTGCCTCCGGGGATCCATAACATCCTCTCAGATGTAAGGCAACAGATCCGTGTCTCTATCTGTGTGTCCCCATGGCTGTCACTGGTTGGAGTGACGGGAGCTATGAATGGAGAGGCAGAGGCTGCGCTAGGAAGGGAAGAGGAAGGAGGAAGAGGAAGGAGGAAGAGAGAGCCCGTGGTGCTCTCCGCAGAACTGCTCCAGGCCATCTCCCTCTAACTCTCCTTGACCCTGTTACCCCAAGGGCTGAGGCACGAGGACCATGAGGAGGTGCCCACTGGAGCCCCCGCATCCTCTCCTGACCTTTCTTAGGTACCAACAGTCCTGCATCAAAACGTTTGCTTTTTGCTGTTTTTTTGTTCCTCTAATTGGAGCTCTGGGGCAGCTGGCTGAGCCCACTGGGGCTGCTGGAGATGTAGGCTTTGCTCTGAATCTCTGCGAACAAAACTATGCTGGTCTTTTGTTTACAGGAGCGTCCTAAATTGGCTCCTTGCAAACTCTTCCCGGTGACTGTTTTTACTGTGCGGATGGATCCGTTAGTGTGAGTGCAAAGGGGTGGGTGCCTTGTGCATGGCCAGTCAGTCATCCCTCTCTTTCCCCGCCAAAGAAATGAGAACGTACAGACTTGGGGGTGGGGGGGAGGATGAAAATTATGAGGTGCACATGAGCAGGCCCTGACTGTTGAATTGGTGGGCTGAGTGTTTGTGTGGTTGGCGTGGGAGGATCTGTCATCAAGGGGGAAATGAATAATCACATGATTAGGGGGGTAGAGTTAGGGCGTCTCACATGACTTGATGCCTTGACCGGACTAGAGGCAAAGGAATGAGGAGAGGACAGACACACAGACACACACACAGAAAAGCTGGGGTCAGGTGGGCTGTGTGCACTCTGATGGAGCCACAGCAACCCAGAAGCTCAACATGTTTATTATTTACAGCATGGAGGGGAGCAGCTAGCTAACCTCTGTGGGGAGAGGATGCTAACATCTGGAAGGAGGAAGCTGCGGTTGCTAGTTTTTTTTTTTTTTTTTTTTACATACTGCCAATATGTTGCACTTTGCACTGGGACCAGTAGAAGGCTTTGCCATCCTTCTGAGCCTGACCTGGGTAGTAGGGGATGGGGAAGGCTTTGCCAATTTCTCATGAACCCATGCACTGGTCTTTGACATGGCCATACCCATGTCAACAATACACCCTCACTCAGGACTTCATCTCAAGACATCCACTCAAGGCTTCCTCAGCTCCTTACAAGGAGGTGAGGTGGCTCAGTGGTAGAGTGATTGTCTGACATATATGAGGCCCTAGGTTCCACACATACATGTGTGTGTAGATATAAAACTAGCTTTAAAAATAAGTATGGCTCGTATCTGTGATTGCAACATGTGGGGTGAGGCAAGGGGATTTCTCTGGGATTGAGACCAGCCTGGATTACGGGAGACCCTGTCTCAACAATAACAACAACAAAACAGCACATAAATGACCCTACTGCACTAACCACATGACCAGGCCTCAAAGCCGAATCCAGAACCCCTGTTCTCCCCCGGTAGTGGGTGCCTACACAGTGCACCCAGTTCTCAGGGAAAACAGGAAAGAAGCAGGGATATTTAAACAGAAGCCTTACACCACAGCACACTTTACCTTCTCTCAACAAGATGTCACTTCTAGGAAACCAGTGAAAAGCTCTGAGAACTTAGTGAGGCGCTGGCATTGTGTTAGTCTGAGCTCACACTCCAAGGGGCTGAACTCACATTCCTAACTCTCTAGAAGGGACAAAGGATGCAGGTAGGCTCAGCTGTTCCCCCAAGCCAGGTAGTCATGAGGGGACACTCAGGACTCTGTCCAGAGCACTGCCGAGTGGATCACACCCGATCTGCGGGCAGAAACCATGAGTCCTAGTTCACGGCAGGTGCCAGGCAGGGCACAGTGCAGGAGAAGGTGGCGCCGAAGGGGCAAGGCATTGGGATTGTGAGGACACGGCTGTTGGGAATGGCGTAGGAGATGGAGATGGGGGATATAAGTTGGAGTGGGATAGGGAACGCAAAAGAGAACTCAGGGGGAGGGATGTGGAAAATACAGAAATGCAAGCTGGGGTGGGCTGGGGGTACAGGATGGCTCCGTCTCACCCTCACCTGTAGAGAAGGGCATGAAGGCGAGGCTACAGGCCAAGAGAAGCCTGCTCGGGGCAGCTAGGTGCATGGCCCAGGCTGTTAGGTTCCGTCTCTGTGGAGAGAGCAGGGTCAGGTGGAGTACATGTAAAGCAACCTGGCCCGGCCACCCCGGTTCACCCCTTCCTCCATGTGGGCAGCACTGGTTCCCAGTCCAAAGCCGCTTACAACTGGAACCAGGGCTTTACGCGTCCTAAACTGAGTCCATGGGCTCAGCAGCTGGGTGGGCCGTGCTGACAGCTGGGCCCTGGGGGCACCTGGACTCAGAGACACGACTTAGACTTGTACTGCCTGAAGGGAACTCTGGCCCATTCTCCTCCTTTTCCCATGGCTTAACTGTAGTGGGAGGGTGGGGGTAGCTCAAGAGGTGCCCATGTCCTCTGGATGAACTAGGAAGGTTGGGTGGCTAGTGTAAAACCAAGAACCAGTACCGGGTGCTGGGATCCCCAAGCGCAGCTCTTCCTTAAGACGGCCAAACTGCATTGCGCATGCGTGCAGAGGGCCTCCAGCTTGTCTGCCTGTTCTTATTGGTCTGTATCTTAAACTCTTCCCGCCTTCTTGGAGCCTTGACCAATGAGATTCCAGGGCCTCAAGTTCCCACGTGACCCGAGAAATCTTGGCAGGGGATTTCAGCAGTTCTGAGAAATAGTGAGAGGCGTGGATAATTGGGGCTTCTGTTCCCCCCACCTCACTCTATCCATTAAAGATGTCTTCTTGTGGCTGGCTGCCTTCCCTACTGTCTGGAAGACCCTCTGATGAGAAGTACCTATGCACTTCTAACTGACACCCATTCCTCACCCCCCCCCCCCTCCAGTGGGCGATTCGTGGAGAGCAAGCAATTCCTCATTTCAGGGTATTTTCTAACATCAGCCTGTCTGACATTAAACATTTTGTGGGAGGTGTTTTGTGCAGGTACGTGATCGCCAGACCCTAACACTGTACCTTGGCCATGAGCATGCGGTTAGTGTGTGTTAACTGGATGATAGATGTTAGAGGTACCGGAACTCTTGCTCACCCACCGACCCCATCCTTGAAGCATTGATTTCCCATCAGCTGCAGAAAATCCAAGCAGTTTCTTGAAGTAACCATCCACGGATGAATGGATAAAGAAAAGGTGTCATATGTAGGCAATGAGACATTATTCAGCCAAAACAAAAGGGGAAATCTTGTAGTCTGCTATGGCCTGGGGTGGCTAAAATAACGAAACTATCAGAAACTGTAGAATGTCCAGGGGTTAACCAATCACAGTGGAGACGCAGCTTCCCTGATAGACTTCTGCTAACAGGAAGCAGTGGGGAGGAGAGTGGGGAGGGGGTGGGGAGAGCATGGGGTGTCAGATGAGGCCAAGCAGCTGGATTTCACAGGGCTTCTCGGAAGGATGAATTTGAAATGCTTCTGAAATATTCTGTGGGTGTGCTGAGGTAGGGGGTGTATGCTGAGGGGGAGAGGAGAAAGGTGAGGGGGAGTCTGGCTGACTGTCAATATGTATGGCTAACTTTGGAGCCAGGCGATGACGGAAACCATGGCATTAGATGGGGGTGGGGGTGTTGAGAAGAGAAGGGTCTAGCCCCAGGCTTTAAAGACCTTCATCATTTAATAGGAGAGACTAGGCCAGAAGGAGAAGATTCAGGGACATGGAGTCATTGCCAAGGCAGGAACAAGTTCCAAAAAGCTGGAAACAGGACCAGCACTACTGAGGTCTGGTAAGGAAATGTTATTTTTTGCAGTTATGTATCAATCCAGTATTTATTATTGATCATATGTTCCAGGCTCCCTCCTAGAAGCTGACAGCGTGGCATTAAAGAGCAAATCCTCTGACTTCTGGGTCTGCAAAATCTAATGGGGAGGGGGACCTTAAATCCACAAATGGGATGAGGAGAAGATGATGGGATGAGGCCAGAAAGCTGATGCTTTAAGCAGTTTTTAAGCAAGAGACAGAGAAGCTATCTGAAAATGTCAGAGGCTATTCTGACCACGAAGGACTCTGCTGAGGGCCTGTGCTGAGGGTGTACAGCCAGGACAGTGTGACTTGAAGACAGGGTGCCTATGAAGAAGGTTAGGAAGTAACCAGGGATGAGGGGATTTGTGGGTCTTCGACTTTTGCTGGGGTTGGACGGGGAAGCTCTCAGATGCTCAGCGATATAGTGAGGATGGGTTACCACTGTGGTCCACAAAGAAGCCTGGGGTTTGCTGAGGCGGAGGGGAGACAGTGTAGATGACTCTCTGCAGAAAGAAAACCGTAGTTACTGGTGTGTGTGTGTGTGTGTGTGTGTGTGTGTGTGTGTGTGTGTGTGTGTGTGTGTGTGTGATGGCTTTTCCTTTCACTCCTCTGCGTATGAGTTTGGGAGTTGACTTCCTGGACCACGGAGGAGTCCCAGAATAGGATCCTGAAGTTACAGATATGAAGTAGACATGCCTTAGGAGTCAGTGCAGATGATGATGATGAGCTGAGGTGCTTGCCTCCAGGCCTCTCTCAGGTCTCATGAGTCCCTACTGACTCCACACCTTCCCATCGCCTTCTTCATTGCCCCTGTTACTTCCTTGTTCCTGAGGCTGTAGATGACAGGGTTAAGCATGGGTGTGAGAACGGTGTAAAAGACGGATACGACATCATCTTGGCCCGGGGAGTGATAGGAAGCAGGTAGCATGTAGGTATAGACAAGGGGCCCATAGAAGAGATTGACGACTGTTAGGTGGGAAGAGCATGTGGCAAGGGCCTTCTGACGCCCCTCCACAGAACGCATCCGGAGCACAGCAGCCAGGATGAGCGCATAGGAGGTGGTGATGAAGGTAATGGGTACCAGGAGGACCACCACGCCTGTCACGAAGAGTACCTGTTCATAGGCTTCTGTGTCTGCACAGGCTAGCATCAGCAGCGAGGGCACCTCACAGAAGAAGTGGGAGATCTTCCGAGAGCCACAGTAGGGGAACTGAAGGGTCAGAGAGGTCTGAATGGAGGCGTTGAGGGATCCTCCCAGCCAGGAGGCCACAACCATGAGCAGGCACACGCGGCGGCTCATGAGCACCGGGTAGCGCAAAGGGTTGCAGATGGCCACATAGCGGTCATAAGCCATGAGGGCCAGCAGGAGGCACTCTGCAGCCCCCAGGAACATAAAGAAAAACATCTGTGCCCCACAGCCCCCGAAGGAGATGCTTGTCCAACCAAAGAGAAAGCCCACTATCATCTTGGGGACAGTGACTGACGTAAAGAAGATGTCCAGAAAAGACAGCTGGCTGAGGAGGAAGTACATGGGTGTGTGGAGTCGGGTATCCATCCAAATCAGAAGGACCATGGCCGTGTTGCCGGCCATGGCAAGGATGTAGACCAACACCACCATGCTGAACAGAAACAGGTGTAGCTGGCTGTTGTTAAAAAGGCTCGTGAGGACAAAGCCAGTGGTGGAGTAATTCCAGTGCTTGCTGCCCATCTCCTGCTGAGCTGCCCTGTGGGAGAGAGAACCAGTTCTTCACCAGAGAGAGGGAGAAGGGTTGAGGTGAGAAGAGAACAGCGGGAGAGCCCAAGGGACCACCCAGGGAGCCGGAGGGGCAGCAGACATACTTTGTCATTAATGTTCTTGCCAGGATTTGTAGGGTCATTATTTCATAGGGAAACCGTTATTGAAAGCATGGCCTGGAGTGAAAACAGTGTTCAGGGGGAAACACACCACTCCAAACATGTGCTGTGAAAGAAGAAAGACTATATATAGACTAACAGTTTAACTTTCCATCCCACAGAGAAAACAAGGATGCTTGGAAAAAACCCAGCACATCACAACATGCCCCCCTCCATTCATGAGATACGCATAGCTATTGATATTTTCAGTTCTAAGCAAACAGATACACACAGGAAACTATTTTACAGCCTTGTGGCCGACCCGAGGGCTAGGTCCACACATGTGTGAATTACATGGTTCGACACTCTTGTTGATATGAGGGTTTGTGTGACTCATTTTTCTTACAAGCGAGAGCTGTGGGTATTGCTGAAAAGGGGCATTTTGTCATCTGCCAAAGCTGCCCCGCCCCACACTTCCCTTGTGGTCCTGGCCACAGGAAACTCACATTTGAGTTTTCATGCTCTGATGCAGTGATTGCTTTCTATGGGTTTTAACACTAAATAGTGGTCATCTTCATACTGTTGTTTTCTGATCTTCAACAGTTTCATAAATGAGTCTTGTCTCAGTGCTCAGAGCCCCTGTAACATTCTGATGCCCACTGGGCTCTGTAAATATAAACACATGGACTCCCTTGCAAGGAATAGGGAAAGCAGCTGTAGTAATGTCTCTTGGGAGCACCAGAGACACCGGGTCCTCCACCCTCAGACTGCATTCACTCAGGTGAGCTCCAGTCTCAAGGAACAGCTCAGGGAAGTTATAATGGGAAACAAGTCACCCAAAGGCAGTTTGTGGAGGCCAGAGAAGGGATACAATCAGGTTAATTTCTGATGCTAGGATGAGGTTATTGGCCTGTTCCCCTTCAGGCAAATTCCTCTGTTCACCATGGCAGGCTGGAACACTGTTCCCAGCATCCTGTATCCCAGGGAATGCCTTGACTAGCTGCTGGGGTCTGGCAGCAAATGACTTGAGTGGGATGACTGAAGGAAAATAAAGAACCACCCAGAGTCCCCTGAAGGAGCTGTGGGTGCAGGAGACCACTGCTGTTGGCAGGTGGGTCTCTGGGACACAGCAGAGCCTAAGTTCAACACTCCTGTGAGGATCACTACCAGGGCAGAGCAAGCTGAGTATCTTGTCCCTGAATCTAGTCTCCAAGACTGACTGCTTGCTGGTTTTTAAAATTTAATTAATTAATTAATCAATCAATCGTTTTGAGACAAGCTGTCATGCAACCAGACTGGCCTCAAACTCACTATATAGCCAAGGATGACTTTGAACCTTTCTGATTCTTCTGCCTTCACATCCCGGGTGAAATTCTAGGCACGTGCCCTGATGTTTGCTTTTATGAGATGCAAGGGATGGAACCCAGGCTTCTTGCATACTAGGCAAGCACTCTACCCACTGAGATATAGCACCATCCTTGTCACAGAATGCTGTGATGGGTGATCTGGGTTGAGAGCCACTAACTAGACCCCAGCCAGATTGTACTGCTGATGGGGAAGCCAGGACTGTCCCACAGTAAGACAGCCAGGAGCAGGAGGCAGGAAGCAGCTCTCCATGGTGCTTTTCTTGGCTCTTAGAGCTCTGCAAAGGAGCCCTGTTTACAGCTTCAGCCGCAGCACCGTTCTTAGGCTAGCCCTGCTAGGCACAAAGATCTCAGATCCGAGTCAAACAAGTTCCGAGCTCGACTACCCCAGGATCCCAGCGTCTACTCTAAAGCCTCTTTCAGGAGTAGAGCACAGAAGAGCACTGTTAGAACCAACCATTACAGACAGCACTAAGTCAAAATGAATGATGCCTCTCAGGGCTAATTCCTAACAATACGCCTGCCAGCCTGCCTTTTATATGCAAACCTTCCATTCTAGAGTCTACAGCCCATAGTTTTCTAGTATCAGGGGTCACAGTCTGGGACACCTATCATCTTATCTTAGATGATCCCAGGACAAG